AGCAGGGGACATTGAATAAAGCTACCGTTGGCGGATATGATACGAGAGCTGGGTGCATGTCTCTCTCTCAATGATTCAAAACACAGTGACACACCAATCATCACTGGCATTTGCCTTACCAACCGTTTCGCCCCCTTTTCAAGCACACCGTTATGATGGCATCCATTATAGGGCACGGTGTGGGTGAGAAGGGGAGTAGGAGCTATGGGGGTTGTCCGAAACCAGTGGTTCCGGGCCTGTGATGTCTTCTCCCGAGTGATGTCACACGACAGGCGCACCATCATACAAGTAACTAAGTAGCTAAATGAAATATTTCCTTAAAAAAAAAATGATCCTCAACTTCAACATTTGTTTACCGAATACTGACTGATGATGTGAGCCAACATTTTATCCAGAGAATGTTACGCACACAATATTCACACAATGGGGGATTTCTAGTAAAGATCATACATACAATATTCATTCAATGGGGAAATTTTAGTAAAGATCATACTGAATCTTACACACAATATTCATACAGTGGGGGAGTTCTAGTAAAGATCATACTCTGGGGGAGTTTTAGTAAAGATCATACAATTTTTTTATATTATTTTTTGTGGGGGGGGTGGGGGGAGAGAAATTGTGGTAAAGATCATACACACAATATTCATACAATTGGGGGAGTTTCATAGAAGGTCATTCATTAAAATTCATTCACCGGTGGTTCCATAGAAGGTCATGCAAACTCAATTCATTCACTAATCCTTATCACATTGACCAATCAATGAAGAAATTCATCAACTCAACACAAAGCTCAATACAACAGTCTGTAATTTTAAAAGCATCTTGGTTAAAAAGAGCATGATCAACATCCAACAAAGAATATTTTGTTCAAGACATTGTTTGAACACCAAAATAACTAAAGACATATATCATCAAATGGTTTGTAATAATATCTAAGAAACATTAAAAAAATTGATGAAATTAGATGACACAGCCAACAACGACGTCAATGTTAAATTCATTGATCACAGAAATAAGTTCAGTACAACTAAGGTAAGACAAACAAAGATTTGATACTGCTGGAGTCTGCATGATACTGAACATAGTTTGAGATGTCCTGTATTTCAGACACCCTCAGTTTTAAGTAAAGCTAAATCACTTTTCACAGTTAAGTTCTAATAACAACCTAGGATGGAAATAGAGACACTTTAGGACAAGTAAAAAAAAAATATATATTTTTTAAAATAATAGATTTCATTTTATTTTTACAAAACTGATGGGCATGTAAACAAATGGGCCTCATTGGGGGCCCAACAGGAAGAAGGGATGTCATAGGCCTCACTGGGGGTGCTACAGGATGAGGGAATGTCATAGGCCTCATTCGGGGTGCTACAGAATGAGGGGATGTCATAGGCCTCACTGGGGGGTGCTACAAGATGATGATGGACAAGTAAACTACAGTTGCAGGGAAATCACTACAGTCCTTTTTTTAAAACATATTAAAATACTCAGATATGAAAACAGTTATATTGAATCAGACATGTTTACACAGAACAGGTGTGGCAGAGAAGGGGCAACAGATAACTTATGATTAGCTAATTGTTAATCTATAAAGCATCTTACTCTACATGAATTATCAACAGCAATGAATTACAAAATGTTGATTATTTGTTGGCCTCTTATGGTATTTGATTGTTATAATTTCATGTTAAGACATTTAAGTTAATGCAAAAAATCTGAAATTATTTCATCATTCTCAATACAAACTAAATAGACAGGGTTTGTAATCTCTTAAGACCTCAAATTATAAATCTCCAAAATGATATTATATGGTGTACCTCAGTTGGGTGACTCTAGACATCACTTGATATACTGAAAAACAGTTGAACCAGCAGAGTTAAGCTTTAAAAAAAAAAACAGCCTGAAGTCTCTTCAATTTAAGCATAATAAAATATTGCACTGAATCCATTTCATATCTATTTGACCAAACTCTGGAATCCTAATAAATATCAATTACCGTTGGTGAAGAATGCAAAACTGCAAATGATTGAACACCTGAATATTTTATTTTAATATTTTATAATGGAGTTGAAAAGTTCAAATAATCTCTATCCAAATGTCTTAAAAAAGTAATCAAACTCTCTAGCTTAATTAATTTGAGCTCCAATAAAATTTAAATTCTGGATCTCTCATTTTTTTTAAAGCTTCTTTCTTTAGCACATTTTTTTAACAAGTATAAAAATCTGCTAATGATGAAAGCCTTCTTTATTAGGACTTTCATGTAATCAGGAAATTAATATAGGAGTTTAAGTCAATTTACAGATCTACTAAATGAAAGGTAATCTTAAGTAAATGGACAGCAATTTGAAATTGAGTTCTCAACTAAATAAGGCTCTAGCTTTGACGCTCTAACTTTGACGCTCTCACTTTGACGCTCTCACTTTGACGCTCTCACTTTGACGCTCTAACTTTGACGCTCTAACTTTGACGCTCTAACTTTGACGCTCTAAGTCTAAAGTTTTTTGCTGATAATAAAGAAAGTGAGGGTTCAAATTTGATAAAAGGTAAGATTAAAAAAAAAATAAAAAATTTCGATTTGCTTTGATCTTTTATAAATTAAAAAAGAAAGTGATTTTCTATTTATCATAAGTCCCTTCTTTTTTTTTCTCTGATGACTAGAGGAAAAGCTCTTGGATATGCACACATTTTAGATTAAAACAATTCATAATATACAACAGAGAACATATTATGTAACTCTGTTTATAAAATAGCAAACTCCACTAGCAGTTTGTAATGATTCATGCTGAAGATTTTTAATCTTTCCATAAAGACCCTTTGATGACATAAGCCCTTTAAAGATAAATTCATTACTCAGGCTAATACTTGAACTTCACATTTAAATACTTAGTTTAAGTATTGATTTATCGGCTTATCCCAACATTTATTTATTTGGAAAAATTAGCTCTGTGTCCTTTTCAGAACAATCTAAGATAGCACAACTTCAAGTGGTATTTTAAGATAGTTTCCTCAGAATGGGCAAAATTACTTGTCAGTTACTTAGATTTACATACATGCCAACCTGTTGGGCTCAAGAACTGCACAAAAAAGTTTAAAAAAACCCCCAAAAAACACTGTACAACAGCATGAAAAACTGTACAGAAAAAAATGAAAATTTGAAAATAAATATAATTTTTAACTTTTTCATGATTTACTGGTTAATTAATTATTAAAGTTTTGAATGCATGTAAACTTTGCCTCCTTGATAAGGCTTAAATTTTTATGAATATTCTTGTGCATTTTGGCGCGTTTACATCTGGTTAGCTCATATTTTTAAAATAATACTAGCTTTTTTAAGTCTGATTTTTGGCTTTTTATACTGGTCAATAGCAATTTGGTTAAAAATTGACATAGATGTTAACTTTTTAAAGTTATTAAGTTTACCTTTAATTATAGCCCTAATTTCACAGTTATGGAGAAAAGTCATGTACATAGCTTTTGTAATATACTACGGTATTATACCATAGGTGGATATGAAGTGTTAATTGGAGGTTACAATAAGAAATACACAAATTGATTTATAATCTTGGTTTACAACTCAAAGTAGTTACTACTGAATGACCTGTAATACTATTAACTGTCTCAACAAAACTGCTCACTTTTTAAATGTAGATAGCCTTTCAATTCCAGAATTTGGGCCAAAGGTCATTTCGAATGGACCAAAAGGATTTCAGCTTCCTGTTGACACATGTTGAATTTATTGCATTTCCAGCGATGATTTTCAAATGTGTGTCACCACTCAAGTCACTGCCATGTACTAAATTATTTATTTTCTAAATCCAGTGAAAAACCATACAGAATCCAGTTTAGCTGTACATCTGAAACTATATTTAAACCTGTACAAAGTACAGGTAAATCATACAGGTTGGCATGTATGGATTTATATAACTGTTTAATATCCTTAAATTGTTGTTTTCTATAACAAAATTTAATTATTAATAAAATAAATTTTGGGGGGTTCTGTACCCTCCAAAAATTGAAATAAATTACATATTTAATAATAATTTAAAATAAACAACAATGTGTGCATGCTTTTAAATAGTTATAAATGTTTAAGTTTTTGATGAACAAACTACATTTCCATTTTGATTTTTATATATAATTAATATACATGACATCAATACTTCAATTGGCAAGCATATAAGCTGCAAAAATATCTTTAAAACAAGGAGTATGAGTGTTACAGCACCATGCAGATTTATGTATTGAACCAGCTAAGTTAGTATCCCACCAAAGAAACACAAATAATGATTCTTCACAATAAAATGAATAGCACAAAAAGCATCTTGGCATCAAACACAAAAGAGGAGTGTTAACAATTTTTAACACAAATGAACATTTCATTTATGCATCATCTATTACAAAAAATTTTTAACCTTGAAATATAATTCAGAATTATTTCACAAATAATTACTAGTTCATATGTTATTATTAATTACGTGCAATATTATTGTTTAAAGTAATTAAGGGCAGTGCCTTGCAAATAAACAAAACAAAAATAATTTTTAAACTAAATACGCAAGCTTAGATAAATGCTTTTTTCCCTTATAATTTACAAGACCACATAATAACTAAACTAAAAAAATTGCATTTATTATTGAACACCTTTGTGTGTCTCTTTATTTCTTTTACTTTTAATAACTACTGATCGGAATTTATATACAAGTTTTTTAAGTTTATAAATAAAAGCTAAAAATTTTGCACATGTTGGTTTGTGAGAAGGCATTAAAAGATAATAAAATCGCATGTCAACAAAATCATGAAATGGTTACATTCTACACACAATTAGAAGTAAATTAAAAGAGTAATAATAAATGACATGATAAGTTATACACCTTTACAATGGCCCCTCTTATTACAAGAATTAAAGCAAGAAAATAAAAATAAAATATAAACACTTTATTTTTAAAAATGAAATGAATGTAACTGTAATGACATTTTCTATAAAATGATTTTTTATACCGTATTGGAATGTTTGTATATGATTGCCAAAGGTATGTGAGCAAGAGAGAAAATTAACACACAAAGTGTCTCACTTATCAAAAGACACTGAAATGTCATTATCAATTCATTAATCTAGATAACCTTTGCATTCCTAGCAGTTTCCTCATTCATTAAAAAAAATCCTAATGCTTCTGTTTAAAACTTCCAAATATTGCATTTCTAAGGCTGTTTCATTGTGTGTGAAAATTGTAAAGACGTCTACAAAAATTATTAGAAGCATCATTTTTATCTGACTTTTGCTATTTGCATGATTTCATACAGTCTCAGTTAAATAGCAAGAGTCACACATCTCTTTCTAGACTCTACGGTCTTGATACACCCCATAAAGGTATGTTAATCAATTTACTTTGCCTTATATGATGGCAAACAAAACAATTGCCATTTTCTCTAGAAGCCAACATTTTTTTCTATTATATAGCTGTAGTTATGTTATTTCATTTATTGAGGATTCATGTTTTTTTAAAAATTTAGTCACAATTTTAAAAATTAAGAAAGTGACAAGATGAGTATATTGCAATGATCACCACAGTATATGAATTGATGAATCTCACTTGCCACTTTAAAACAAAAAAATTTGGTAGACAAATGCAAAGAAAATTGAAATCTTGCATCTATAAACTATACAATTTGTTTCTAATATTCATCTAAATTAATCTCAACTTATGCCTCAATTTTTTTCAGTCAAAACCAAGCTTCTATCAGCATTTAGTAACTGATGTTGTAACCTGTTGTTGTATAAACATATTCATCTGTAGCAAAAGAAAACTTAAAATAATATATCCTGAATAGTGACAATAACTTGCTCATGAAAACAGTCCACACTAAACAACATTTAAAATGTCTGAAAAAGTGTATAGAGATACAAGCTGATGTATCATCTGAAAAGAAGAAGAAACTGTATTATACTGGACGGCAGAGGCAAGCTTTGCATGTTTTTGATGAAATTCTTTCCCCGCCCCATACGGCTAATGGAGCATCTCAATACTAATTTGCACTGATGCTGAAGGGAAGGGGGGCACTGTGTTTCTTGATCTAAAAGTTCTAGAATATCTGAGTCAACATCACTGTTGGAGAGTGCCATTCTGACAGAACGTATCTCTAACAACCCAACACCTGCTTGGAGTACCAGTTTAACTATTTCAAGATTCCCATTTTTGGTAGCCCAAAACAGGGGGGACTGCTCTGCGGATGACCAACGTAACTGAGCAGAAAGTGGACTCCCATGAATGATAAGATGACGTATGATCATAGAACTAACTCTATACATAAGCGCAGTCAGCAGAGGTGTGCAGCCGAACTTATCCATTTTGCTAACACTTGCACCATTATTAATCAGGTATTCCACCAAATCCGGCATCTGTTGCCGTGATGCCACCCAAAGTGCGGTATGGCCTTGATTATCCGTCATATCAATATCTGCACCTTTTCTAACCAGGGTGACAACACCTTCAAGGAAGTGAAGACGGCACGCTGTAATAATTGGTGGCTCCACCCGTCCCAAACTGTCTCGGCTGATCATGTTCAGATTAAGATTTCCCATTTTGGCTTGGTGGTGGAGAAACAAATGAAAAATGTCAAATCTCCGTCTGTACAAAGTTAAGGAGAGAGGCGTAACATCTTTAATATGAAAGTTAAAGTCGAGATCCGGGTATGAGAGCAGCACATTACGGACTCGTTTCAATGAGCCCATCTCTATGGCAGCAAACAACTCGTAACACAAAAATGATTGTACGTATCTATTGGATGTTTCAAAAGTTGTGGACTGGCTGCTGTGCTTACAATCCAGAACTCTAGTTGGGCTGCCTTTATTCGGCCCAGATACATTGCCCATATTAATTGGATAGGCGGGCCCGAGAACAAGGGCCGGTGTGGCCGAGTCTTGCGGGCTGACTAGCCCGTGCTCCATTCTAGAGCTTGGCATGAGGAATCAAACGGCGGCAAAGTCATAGGGTTTACCTTTCCTGTAGAGAAGAAAATGTGGTTGAATATTATTACTGAGCAGTCAAAGCAATAAATATGATTCTATTTTAAATTTAAACTTGTGAAATGAAGATGTTTTTCATTACTTTTAAAATTATTTTCAAGAAATGCTTTAAATCAGGGGTGTGCAACCTACAGCCAAGGAAGGCTCTGAATGTAGCCAAATTTTTTAAATTAAACTTGCCAACTCTATGAGACTTTATGAAACTTTATAAATATTACCCTTCTGATGTGACTCTTGCACTGTTTCCTAATCAGCTAATTTGGTATTGAGAATATATTACAAATAATTCTAAATGTTTAAAAGAAAGTATGGTTCAATAATGAGTTCAATAGCGCGCAAAATATAATTCCCGATAACTAAGCTAAATGATATATTTTTTTTATATAAAGCAACTGCGTCTAGCGCGTAATATTTTCTTTTCAGAAAATGAAATCCTCAATTTAAGTATGGTGTAAAAATATTCATTTAAAAGTGGTTGGGACATCAGAATATTTAATATAGTTCATGGGTATGAAATAAAAAGTGTGCAGTGACATATCATGGGGGAAGGGGTGTAGCAAAAATTGGGATTCAGAAATGTGCGTTACTTGAGTTCATGTTTTGTCAAGTAACTTTAGTAGTGGGATGTTTTGTCAAGTAACTTTAGTAGATGGGAAGTTCACGCATTCCTGTCGCCAATGTTTGGTGGGCTATAACTAGTATAATTTATTTCTTTGCTTCAACACTAACACGATTCCTTTTAATAACAATGTGGGCTAAAGTAATAAAAAAAGTGAAAAAATAACAAATAGCAGTGTTATTGAACACAGAACTAGAAAAAAAAATGTTACTGAAAATGAAACAAAGCATTACTGAGCGGGTGCGATTGTAGGTACAGGTGTATGTATATGTTTATAACAAGAAGTATTGTTTGTTAACCGAGACAAAAATTGTTAGTAAAACTCATTTGATAACCGATTTGTTCTGAAATGAGGCTCCACAGTATTTTTTAAAATGTGTCTGTAAAAAAAATGTTTGTTAAAGTTAGCGGTAAGGCCGGTGATGTGTTCCACAATATATAGGTCATGGAGGTTCCTCCAGGTCAACTTAAGCATTCAAAAGATTTTGATTTTTATCTTTGAGTTTACTTGATACAAGTTTTTTTCCTCATTTTTGGGGGGGGGGGGGGTGGGGGGTGGTAGATTATCCCCCGAAGATTATTTTGTTTCTTATTTTTGTATAAAAAGTGGGTGGAGAGGTTTGGGGAGGCTACACTGTCAAAATTGAGATGAGAATACTAAAAGTAGTAAAGAAATTGTAGTACAATCTACAGTGTGAGTGTCAGTGTGATTTAACATTTTTAATTTCATGGGGGTTTGTTATTAAAAATGATTAAAACTAGATCTCAAATTAGAAGGATTTATTATTTTATTGAAACCTATAAGTTTAATTTTAATAAAAATGAATGGAAAATTTCAGTTTCATATACTTAATATTATCTGGTTCGATCATCAGATTTACTTTATGACGCGAGTAATGCTCAGTCAAAACGGCAAAGTTATCACACAGTGGTTCACTCTCAATCTTTTCACTCTAGACTCTAAGTCCAAATCCTAAGTCCAGTGTTGGGATGCCCTAAAGTGACATCCTACATCACTCTGCTTTGGGTGAGGCGACACTTGACAAAACACGTATCCCTAACCCAAAATTTACCATCCTTTCATCCATGTTCTGACTTTCAATTCACTGTTATTTATATTTGTATGCTCGAACTCCAAGGCTAGGGCTAGGGGCCAGGGGCAGTTCCAGGGCAAAGTGACAGTCCTAATTTGATTATTAAATTATGTTATATGCTTGTGTTTTATAATTGTTGACTGGGGGTTCAGTGGGTGTCTTAGAATCTGATTCGCTGGACTTTTTTAATTTCAGACTTCAGTTTAAACTTCAATTCAATGAATTCAATGGCTATTCAGTCAAATGATTTGACCAAGTCCAAATTAACTCGTTTCTTATGTCACTCCCTCTCAGTTTGCCACATCCGTGGTAATTGATTTAAAACTTATTTCAATAGAATATATTATAAATACCGTGTATGCTCATGCACATCCGATATCACATGCCACGAAGCTAATGCATTGGCGCTCTACTACGTCGGACTAAACTTGCACACAAGGCACTGTATGTTGCCCTGCCCATTTCCATCATTCATAATCACAACAAAGATGGCCAAGTAAATAAAATCAATAGACCAATCAGATACCTTGGGACTTTTACTGCGAGGTAAGAAATTGTTTTGAAAGGGGAAGCAATTAGTTTAACTTAGTTACACAGATTCGGTGGAATGTCATCGTAAAGATGCCTACAATACTGAGATGCAAATGCATAATTGTCGGTATGATTGCTTAAAGTTGTACAAGCTTTAATTAAGGTTTAAATACCTAATCAATTAGCTATATACTATATAAATTATATATAAAATTGAATTTGTGTGAATCGTGAATACTGAACAACACCACTAATCACTGATTTTCTTACTGAAAAATCAGACTACTCAAAAACTCATTTCAATGATTATGTCATTAAACTCATTTAATTTAACAAATGATTTATTGCTACACTGACAAAGTGACAAGCACTGAAATAACACTAAATCACTAAAAGTAGTAGCAAATTGTTGTACAATCTACAGGTGCTATTTTGTCTTTTTAAATTTCACGGGGGTTTGTTATTCAAAATTATTAAAATCATTATTAAATATTTTACCCCAAAAAATAAATAAATAACTTGGACTTGAATCAACTGAAATTAATGAAATAGCTCATTTAAATTATTTAAATTTAACTCATATTTATATTACTCATACATAATTTAATTACAACATATTTTATCAATCATTAATTTATTTCTTGACATACCAATACATTTTTCTGATTAATATAATATTATTATTAGGCTATTAATAATTATATCCCTCAACAATAACATCAGTTCAGTGTAAAATGGGGAGGATAATTTGTGAAACCATTTTTAGAAAAATCATCAGTTGTCAATAGGACAGATAAAACACACTTAACATTGGATAGGAGAAAACCTGCAAAAGGACAAAACAAAAAGGACAAACAATACTATTTGACAATAGTATAATTGGTACACAATAATATAAATTATGTCACATACATGATACTTCAGTTTCAGCCTTTATTATCTAACTTAATAATTACATTAACTGGGGTATGATTTAGAATTATTAACTTTTAAAAATACATGCCTAAACAAAAATAAGAATTAGAAAAAAATTAATCGGTGATCAGCCAATCACAATTATCTTTTAATGTATATTTTAAAAGAATTATTAATAAAAGTCTATTTTCCTATGTACACCGTTAGATCAGGTTACAATGTTTTAATTTTCAAATTTAATGAATGTATAGATGTGACCTGACTAGAGACTACAAGGTTGATTGTTTATTTTAAATATTATATAATTAAGTATAAACCAAATTTATAAATTATATGTGTAAAAATGTATAATTTAAAATCTAAAACTGTGCTCTGCACTTAAAAATTAGAAAATCTAAAAAGGCATCTTGTTTACCATCTCCATGTTACTGTCATGTGCTATACCTTGAAAAAAAACAATGTTCAGTTTAATGAAGATGGTTACTCATGGTTGTGGTTGTAGGCAGTTTAAGCTTGATTATCTTAACTCTTATATTTTACAATTCTTAAATCCAATGTGTTTAAATTTTCGTAGGAGATGCAACTGTTGGTAAAAGTTCTATTGCGCAAGTATTCCACAGTGATGCATCACATTATCCCAAAAATTATGTAATGGTAAGAACAAAATATGGCCTAAATCACACATTGTCATTTCCCATCTGATTTCAAATATTACTAATTACTAAGACCTTTACATTATTTAAGAACTTAACAAACACACACACACACATCCAACTTAAATTATTTCATTAAGCATTAGCAGAGTTTTTGTAATGTCACTGGGAGAGTTATTACAACAGTGTACCTTACCCAATTTACTAATTTGTTTCTTCTTTCCACAGACCCAAGGTGTTGAATTGTTAGTAAAGCCAGTTAACATTCCTGAAAGTACAGATAGTGTGGTATGTAAATCTGGTCATACAAATGGCATAAAAATTTTGGGTTACGCTATGTTTTGGCAGCAATACTATCATCAGCCTGAACCAATGGTTAAAATATCAAGAGAAGAAAAAAGCCATTGGAAATTACCAAATTATATATATAGCTGTCTACATTGTGCTTAAAGAGTGCTGGTCTATTCATGGGCGCCCACAGGTGGGGAGCAAGGGGGGGGGGGGCATGTTTAAAACATTTGACTTTGTCAGATTTGAATCTTTTTTTTTTTTGGTTTTGTTCTGCCTTTAAAAAATGATCTGTTAATGGGGGGCTTTTCCCCCCCCCCCCCCGTTGATTGGATAAAAATGTTTTAGACAAAAAATTTATTAAAGTAAAGAGAAAATAAAGAGAAAGTAACTAAGCTGATGTCCTGTGCGTTCGTTCACCATACAAATACGCTAAAGTAAATTAAAACCAAATTAAAACGTTACTAAAAATTTTTTGCCCCCCCCCTGGAAAGTTAATCGATTTTTTTTGCCCCCCCCCTCTAGAAAGTTTTCTGCGGGCGCCCATGGGTCTATTATATATTTTCAGTTATTAATTGATGACATCATTCTATTGCAGGTCGTTGTATTTTTTGCATATGATCTAAGGATCATGAAGCTTCATTGATATTATTGATAGTGAAAAATGGTGAAGGATAATTTTGTATACCGGTAGTTACATAGAGTGAAATTCTTTCTTTTTTTTGCATATGACTATCAAACTGTTTCTGTTTTGTTAATAATTATGTTAAATAATAATTATTGGGGGTAATTTTACTTATATTTCTAATTTCTATACATGTTTCTCAGGAATTTTATATCTATGATTGTGCTGGAAAAGATGTTTTTGCAGAAATTGTTCAGAAATATGTAAGTACCAGTACATGTTAGTCAAAAATGGCATTAGTTATTAATTGTTGGGTTAAATAAATGTTCTTAATTGCTTATCATTTACTTTTACAGATGATTACTTTTCAAATATGATCAGGTAGGTGCAGTTTGTTTCAAATCAAATATAAATTAAATTTACTGGAAAATGAATTCTTGTGCATTTCAATTTTAATTCTAGTGGGATCACCTATCAGTCGTGATGGTAGTCTTTGATTGCACAAATGAGAGTTCATTCACTAGCTGCACTAAATGGTTGGAAAAGATCAGGTCCAAAAATCCTAACATCCACATACCAGGTATGTTACTGAACCTTTTCTATCTATAGATTTGTAAAGATATTTTCTCGGTTCCAAAGATATGAAATTTGAGATTAGAAGAAATAAAAATCAGTCTCCATTTTATTATTTCTGTACTAAAATCATGAACAAAAAAAATGTAATCCCTGGTGCTAAAGATGACAAGTGCAAATTGTTCTTTTGCAAATATTTTATTTGTAGATGTGTCCTAATCTATTTTTTCATTGTCATTTATCATAATTTATTGGTCAATTTATGAAGGCTTGAACCATCAAGCTTATGTTTTTGAGAGATCTAATCTGTGAAAATTCCTACTTAGTAGGCCCATAAACTATAAAAGCAGTTAAACATTTACTTAAGTTATACTTTACCTAGAAATATTGAATATTTATCTCAACAAGAAAGCATATAAAATCTTATGTGTAGTAGCTGAACTGTAAAATATAAACTATTTTATAAATCAAGGAATATAGCTCATCTTATGCCATGAATTAAAATAGAAACAAAAATTAGTTATTAAGAAATTAGTTATAAATTGTCAAAAAAAAATTCAATTTGCTCATTTATTTCTCAACATATCATTACGCTTTTCTGATTTATTTGACAAATGAAAATGAATTCCTTTAGTTAAAAAATAAAACATTTGCCTGATTATAAATACTGATCAAACTTTTATTTAGATATTGTTCTAAAATTATGGGATTTCTAATGATCAGATTACGTAGTATTGGATTTGGATGTTGCTCTTTAATAAATAAATATAATAGTTTGTTAAATTATTTTTATTTCATACTTGTACTGTTACTAAAAAATTAGAATAACCCTGGAGTTATTTTTTGTTTCACTTGAGCGAATTATTTATCTTTAACCTTACTGTATAAATTGTGCTAATTAAAAATTTAGTGTCATGTTTGCATGCTTGTTGTTCAGATCCGTCAGTGTGATTGTGTCTTTGACACTGTGTTGTGGTAATTTTTTATTATAGAAACTCAAGAACTGGCGTTTTTAATTGCTGGTTCCAATATGTGATGATTGGTATCATTATGGAACATGCTTAAAGTCTTTAACTTATTCTACAGCCTACTTAATTTCAGTGTTACCTGCTGGTGTGGGAATTCATCGTCCTATATTAAACACTGAATCAACAGACTAATCAAGAAAGCTAAGAACATAACACGAAATAAACATCCTTCAATTAAAGAACTATTTGAAGGAAGATGTTATAATAAAACTAAACAAATTTTGGATGATACATTCCACCCTCTCTTTATCACCAATACTTAGGATCGGCCCATTCGGAACGAATTCTTTCTCTCAGGGCGAGGACTGAAAGATATAAAAATTCTATTGTTCCCCAATCTGTGCTGCAAGTCCCTGATATGACTAAGAGAGTTCCCTGAATGGCTGGTTTTTTTCACTAGTGAAATAATTTAATGTAGATGTCTTGTGTTCAAATTGTTTTATTTATGTGCTGAATATGTACAATGCAATAAAAAAAACACTTCCATTTTCTTGGATCAATAAAAGAATCTTATCTTATCTAAATAGTTGTCAGTTCTAAAAGAGATGAACATTCAACTCTCCCTTGTGACTGTATATAATTAAATATTATGTCTATCTGACTTTTATTATGTCCGGACCAGTTGGAAAATGAACATTGGGAATGAATAATTATAAAAACAATATTCAGTTTAACATAAGATTTCTAACCAATAATTCTTTTGTCCCAACAAAAAAATGATCCATTATCTTAAGTCTGGTTCACCAGTAGACAAGTTTTCCACTACACCAGGGACTGGTGTCAGATTTATTAATCAATTTTCTTTAATAGTTTTTAATCTGTGATCATCCTTTGCGAAAAGATTGTATTAGAGGGATTCTTTACCAGGATATCCCCCACCCTCTTGGGGTATGTGAGGCAATGTTTGGGGTGGGGGCTGGAAATCACAGAAAATCTTGTTTATTTGCATTTTTACTGTCAGGGTGTGGGAAATAAGTTTTAAAATCAAGATAGTGGGGTGCTGGATGTTTTGAAATCAAGAGGTGGTGCGGCGCTGCAAAAATGTTAAGAACCCCTGCTCTATTAACTGCAACCATTAAATGTTAGCCTTTACAAGTTTTTGTTGCTATGGCAGTTATAAAATACAAAATAGCACGTTTTGGACACATTTTAAACTTCTAAAGTCTTCTTAAGATAAAAAAAATTGTTGTAGGAAAAAATCATTTTAATGAACTATGACTTTTGAATGCAGAAGGTGGGACTGATTATTTAATATTGACAAGCCAAGGAAATCATGGCTCGATTATGTCTGTAGGTATTAGTGACTATGAGAGAGTGGATTTGCAAGACAAATAATTTTTTGAAGTTGGCTTTGAAATGAGATTATAATAATAATAATACAGAAACTTTTATCTTTTTTTTCAAGCTTCTTGACTAATGTTTTGTGGGAATTGCATTAATACCATGGTTTATATCAAAATCATGATATGGTATTGTTTATAAAAGCTGTTCATTTATCAGTACTGAGCTGTTCATTTATTTGTTTTCAATTTCTTACATTACAAATTTCTTTATTGCCAGGTGTTTTAGTTGCAAACAAAATAGACTTAGACCAGAGGAGAGTTATCAGCCCTAAACAAGCCAGAGAACTGGCACAGTCAAATAAGTTGGAATATTTTGAATGTTCTGCTGTAAGTGATGTATACAAAAGAAGATGAAATAAAATTGTCGTAAACGTTTAGGGCCAGATATTGCTTTATGTTTCTAATAACATAGCATAAAATCATGTGAACTTATATTAATTACACTTAAATACTTCATTATGCTAGTCAAGTAGAAATTCATTGTAAATGTTTTATACTTTGTCATTCTGACTGATAATGACAAATTAAATAATATGAAAAAAATTAATTATTTTATGATACTTAAACATATATTTATATACTATAAATATTCAACAACCACCCCTAAAATTTTAGAAGAATTCAGTAAAAAAAATTTTTTTTTTATTTCAGAAAGAAATGCAACATGTCGATATTCCTTTTTTTTTCTTGGCCAATGAATTTCACAAGCTATACCAGGAGAGGGTGGAACTTTTTACAACTCTTGCATAGTTATTAACTTAATTATTGAGCATAAAAATTGTATAAAATAAAATATTAACATGATAAGACTACAGCATGTGATAGGAGCATATTTCTTTATAAAAATCAGCTCTATTGCCCACTTACAGCAGTTTAACCCATGGTAGACTTCTACTTATAAATGCAAGGGCTTACCAATGTGTCCCTTTTTGACCAAAATTGTACTGGTTTAGCAATCTTGCCTGTTCAACAATACATTTACTGTATTTTATCTTCATATAAATGTTAGGAAAGAATTTACCAGAGTTTTTCACTAATCAGCAATATACAAACAGCCTGTAAATTACTGTAAACAATTTGCAAAAGAATAAAACCAACAAATGTGATGTTTTTAAGTGTTGCATCATTATAAATTTGACCCATAAACTAGAAATATTTTATATTTCTAATTTACCCCTTAACAGTGAAAAAATTCAATCAATAGCTTTTGTTGCATTTGGATTTTCTTTATAAAATGACTAATTTATTTGCCAAAATAAGATATTTCCCAATCTATTTCAGCTTATTTTTTGGCTGAATAAATTAGTTAATTGTTGCTCTATTTGAAACAAAGGAATTTAAAAAAAATTTTTTATGCATCCCTAACCTTTTAAGAGTGAATACAATCTAATAAAAAATTGTTTTTGTACAGTATAACATCATCATACAAACATTTTAGACTAGTGTGTTTCTAACTCAATATTAGACGGAGCATGTTTAGCAAAATTTGTCTGTCAATCAAATATTTCTTGTAGATTGGTCTGGTACAGAATTTATAATTATCAGCACTTATTTTTTTCCCCTCTAATTTAGTGAAGATTTATATCTTCATATATAAGCATGGAAAACTGAAAAAATCCAACAATTCTTGTGAAAGAAAGTGTTCTCAAATCTTTGCTTCCATTCAAAACATAGATGAATCATTGATACCTTTTATTATGAGTAAATTGATTATGAGTCAGAGTTGGTTCTTTTTTCCTAAATATCGGACTGCTTGTCAGCAAAGGTGACAGTAATGATGCATACTTGAACTTGTGAAAAGAACTGCATACCCAGTATTCAAAAGAACAAAAACACTATCTTCCAGTTTAGCTATAGAATCTCTCATAGGATAAAGAGAAGATTAAGCTAGATTTGGTACATTTGATTATGAAATGTGTTGTATTGACTTTTAAATCCTTGTAATATGCAGCAACAATAATAATAGAGCTGGTAATGTGTAAATTATTTTTATTCACAAATAAATATATAAAATCTAAGCAAGTTTTTGTTAATATTATTTTACAAGCAAGCACTCTTCCCCCTCCCCAATATGTTTGTGACATTTCTTTACCATGCTTAGTAATTATATAACTTAATTCATTGCTCAAGTTTAATAACCATATATACCTGGTAATCTTTAAATATGAAAAGGAAGGGGACAGAAAAGTTCAATTTCAGTTTCACAGAAAAATCAGTTGGAGGTACCTACTTTCAGGTTCAGGACACAACACAGGGAATATTATTTATGAATGTTGATTTTATTTACAGATAATGAAAGTGACAATTGTATTCAACATGAATTATCAACAAAACAAAATTGTGTAAAATTTCATTTTCTGAAAATACATAATTGAACACAAAAAGAACATCTAATAAAATGTCAAAACAAGTAGAGACCAGGCAGCAAGTTAGCAGTTTCAACAATGCTAGAATAACTTGGGTCATTAAACAATATCTGACACTGATGTTCATAGATAGATAAAATATATGAATTAAGGAGACATCATCAAGTTCAAGGTAGATTTGGCAAAGAATGGGTAAGGGTAAAAATGGTATTTAATTCAAAAACTCTGCTCTTAGCTGGTTAATAGAACCGCGAGAAGTCAAGATCCAATTTTAAGTGAGTATTAGATCTTAGGTATATATAGTTTGATGCCAGCACACTGTTGGTTAAAGTTTACTAAATACGTCACATTGGGAAATGGCGTCCCCGGAAAGCTTTTTCTTCCCCATATTCTTTCTGCTGAAATAATTTTAAGAGGGCAAGGAAATTTGGTATTAATAAATTAATTTACACGCCATTTTGACTGGCCCCAACCCCAGTGTTAGTATTCAAATTAAGAATGCAACTTTCATTGCATGAAAACTCATTGTATGAAAACTCATTGTATGAAAACTCATTGTATGAAAACTCATTGTATGAAAACTCATTGTATGACAACTCATTGTATGAAAACTCATTGTATGAAAACTCATTGTATGAAAACTCATTGTATGAAAACTCATTGTATGACAACTCATTGTATGAAAACTCATTGTATGAAAACTCATTGTATGAAAACTCATTGTATGAAAACTCATTGTATGAAAACTCATTGTATGAAATGAGTAACATACTTTTGAGTAACATACTTTTGAGTATGTATGAAAACTCATTGTATGAAAACTCATTGTATGAAAACTCATTGTATGAAAACTCATTGTATGAAAACTCATTGTATGAAAACTCATTATATGAAAACTCATTGTATGAAAACTCATTGTATGAAAACTCATTGTATGAAAACTCATTGTATGAAAACTCATTGTATGAAAACTCATTGTATGAAAACTCATTGTATGAAACTCATTGTATGAAAACTCATTGTATGAAAACTCATTGTATGACAAGCGATTGTACGAAAAGTTAGAAAACCGTTTCTCGGCCCGATGTTCACACGTCACTATAATAAACTAAGGGAATTTAAATACTTACTGGACGCCCCTATTGCCAAGGCGCCCTGTATGAGGGCACAGGTCGCACACCCTAACGGCCGGCTCTGAATCTACCTCCTTGTTTCCACCTTGCTCATATATCCTCGTTATATATTGGCTTGCATTGTCCATTGCTGCAGGTGATGAAAGACTTCGACTGGTTTTACTTGTATGTAGATTGTGCGTTGATTACAACCCTTGTTATAGAATATCTGTTATATTTTGTGAGCGGCAGAGTGAATATTATTTTTGCTAGGAGAGAAACATACCGGTAGTTATTTTGATAGGAGTGGAGTTCATCTTAGCATTTGTGATAGGCGATTCTTTTTGGAAAAATATGTTTCTCTTGTGAACGCTGGCAGTAACTTGTTAGGCAGTGTATAGCCTGCTTTACACAGTATATTAATAAACAAATACATTTGAAATTTTAACAGTCTCCTGATTAGGGGGGCCATCCATAAATGACGTCACGCAAATTTTGCCAATTTTTTACCCCCCCCCCCCACTCCCCCATCGTCACAAAAGTTAGACCCCCCCTTCAAATATAACGTCACAAATCTCTGCAACCCCCACACCCCCTATAAAAAGTCCCTGTGTTCATTATTGTCCTTTACAAACCCTTAAGAAATTCGCCTCCCGTGGATATCAAATTACTGCACCCGTGACAGAAATATTTCACTAGATCAGTGGTTCTTAACCTGGGGTACAAGTACCTTCCCAACCGTAAAAGTTTTAAAATACCGTATACACTTCTATTCCTGCCCACAGATTACCAGCTAGTGCTATTTCTTATTTTTATACCGTTTTTTCTGTTGTTTTTTGTGACGAAAAAGGTCACGTCTACAGCAAAGAATTATGATATAAACCCCATGCGCGTAGAAAAGAAAGTCTTAAAGAAAAGCCAGCGTTCGGAGTTCAAGCCATTGGGGGGAGGATTAAGTGGGGTTGTGAATTACCAAGACCAAGGTAAGATTGAAATTTACCAAGGTCTTGAAGCACTGCAATTGCACTAGTCATAGCAGGGCTGCCACTCACTTTTTTCAAAATTCCCAAGATTTGGTCATAAAATTTCCCAAGATTTCCCAAGATCATAAAAGTAT